ATAGATAGATAGATAGATAGATAGATAGATAGATAGATAGATAGATAGATAGATAGATAGATAGATAGATAAAGAAAGCCTGTTGAACCTTCCTGCAGAAAGAAGAATATTAAAGCTGCTTTAATGCCAAAGTTTGGAATTCTGTTGCCACCATCCCAGGGTTCAACGTCCCCTTCACTTGAAAGTGTGTTTTCTGGCAGCACCGCTAGTGTATCACAACTCCCAGTGTGAACTGAACACATTGATATCACATACAGAGGAGAAGGTCTGAAATTTGTACTGGGACTGCGCAAAACTCTTAAAGAGGCATTCTGCAAAGCTTCTTGCAGCTGCTTGGAAAGCTCTATCTATCTGCACATGTGGATGTATGCACAGCTGCTTTGCCTCACTGGTGGTCTGTCTGCACATCTGTACTGGTACAGACTTGCTTGTAATTTTTATCCAGAATAGGAATAATTTTGGTGAAGCAGCCTTGTATGAAACCCTCTGTGGGGAACAAGACCCGCTTGTCAGCTTATTTGTGAGAATCTCTTATTCCACTGGCTAATGCAGATATTTCCCCCCACTTCTCTATCAAGCTTGCAAAAGAATGATTTTATTCTCTACAAAACAAAAATCAAACTTTTACTGCTACCACAGCTACAGACAACACTGGAAACATCACAAGACTAACACATTCATTGTGGAGCTCACTATAAGCACTACTACTTCTAACTCAAGGGTACAACAAAGTATTGATTCCCTTCCTTCCTGGTTAGGACCATCACAAATCCACAAACACGGATGACATCAGCACAATTTACATAATATTTTTTAGCTTGCTATGTATGTTTTAACTGCTTAAAGTCTCTACTATTAATTGCCCATATATTGACCCAACAGTGTAGCGGATCTACTTTATTTGTCCCAGCTTAAGGATACTATATTATGTAATCAGCTATTTCTCTCTCCACCCCCACATAACCATGGTAACTAAAAAAAGCCTTTCACATTGGCATCAGGAGCAAGCCAGGAAGGCTACATTATGAGACAAGCCCATATGTGATATTGTTACCATGGAAACACTTACCCACACATTAGCAGACAAAAGTACACGTTGCCAGATAAAGAAAGCAGAAGAAAGGGGGGGGGGAGATGAAGATAATTATTTTTTCCTTATTTGATATGACATGCAAAGAAAGACCCAACTTTGAAAACAGCCCTTGCAGGAGATTCGGGGTAAAGGAAGAAAACTCATTGCTAGTGTTCACCAGATGCCCAAGTGACCACTCTTCTGAAATGCCGGGCAGCTGATGCACCGGCCAATATGACAGAACCAGCTGCATACTAAGAATGTGCTGTACCCAACTCTGGAAAACCTGAAATGAGACAAAATACTGGGAATAAGAGACACGCCAATTGCATGACTTACTTTTGCCAGACTGGCTGTGAATAGCACACATTCAAAGAGCTCCCCCATCCTCTGAAGAAATTCGTCCACATGTGGTCGTTTTAATACATACACCTGAAGGTAGAGAGAAAGAAAGGGAAAAGAACAGCCGCTGAGATTCAAGGATGAGCAAACACTCTTCGGTATACCTGGAGTTCATGATCCTGGAGAATAAATTTACTTTTGATAAATGTAAGAGGAGAAGTGGAGTCCCACTGGATTGTAACAATGCCCTATCTAGTATGTTTTGTTCCTGCAGAAACCAGCCAGATGCTTCAGGGAAGACGGTATAAACTTAGAGGGACATAACTTAAAATGAAAGGGCAATACTCTACAAGAAGAATGAATGTATTCAGTGTTATCTTTTTCAACTCTTCAGAAAGGGAAGATTTTGTTCTTAAGATGAAAAGAAACTCATATTTCATTTCATTTCATTTCATTTCATTTTCGGAATCGCAAAATTCCAGATTTGTGAACTGAATTGATTTTAATGGCTTTTGCTATTAAAGCAGATGATAGGATTGTAACCAAGGTACTTCAATAAATAATTATAGCTAATGCAACAAAACCTATCCATACGAACTCAAGAAATTTTATCCCTCTTACCCAATTATTGGACATAAAAAAATCAAGAAATACTGACTTAGGACAGAGGTATAACAGAAGAGACAAACAGTGCAACTATTTTATCAACATGTAGTTTGGTTTTGTATGTGTTTAACTGACTTTTAGAGCTGAAGGGAATCTACCCTTGACATACGGTACAGCGTATCTTTAGCTGAAGACCCTCTTATCAGAAGAGTAAGAAGACGACACGTGGACTCAGATTTTCCAGCATCCTGTTTATTGCGTTGTGGCTACGTCCCAGTGCAAGTATTCAAGGATAGGCCATTAAGAATGCACACAGCCTATCCTGGATTACTTGAACCGGGTCACAGCCCCTTCTGGAAAGGCACATCAAGAACACTGTCCTTCCGAGAAAGAATAGACGCTAACCAACATCACCTACTAAAATCATGCACAACACTTTTAACTGTTCATAATTTCCCTTGTTTTTATACACCCTTGCCCATTTCTAAAGGGAAAAAAATTTAAGTTTATATTTTTTCTTTTTTCACCATCTATCCTAGAACTAAGATAATACACACAAGAACCTGCATATTCAAAGAAATGCAAGTCTCATTCAGTCTCAGCTGAATTCTCTTCCACAATGCAATTTAGTATCTTATACGCACTCCTGGCTCCAAGTTATTCATATTCAGACAGAATGATGCTCTGTCTAAAATACAATTTTTAATGTTACCTAGATGCATTCAATGCATTATCCTTGTGGATGCTAATATTTTCTTTTATTGCTCATAGAGTTAAAAAGACTACTCATTAGTTTAATAGATACTATATTCTTGGCATTGAACTTTGATTCTTTTAAATTATGTTGCATCTTTGACCCTCTAGGTTCGAGCCCCCTAACATGGTCGTTGCAGATAAGAATGTATCACTCAAAAGCATTTAATGGGGCATGAAGGAAAGCAGATAAATTGAAATCAATATTTTTCCTTTACTTCAGAAGCCTGTCAGAAAGCCATTTCTGAATTTACCCTTTTCAGAGGAGTGCATCTGAAAAACTGGACCTTTAGTCCCTAGAACTGACTTCTGAAGCTCTGGAAGTTTCATGGTCAGTAAGTAAGTTACCTGGATAAGACTATGGTCAACAAGACCATGAAGCAGAATATTCTTATGTGCTGAACTGATTAAGTGATTTAAGTAATACTTTTTACATTCTTGTTGACAGTTCAGACATTTGAATTGAAGTGGCTTTCAAGTGAAAACTCTGCAGTCCTGAAAACACGCTGACTTTAATCTGCCTGTCGACTCCAAAACTCCATCCTCTGCCAACCTAATCTGACAATCCTAGACAGACACAAAGGAATTCACCACCCCCATGCGAAAGTGCAAATACAGCAGTGCCTCTCACCTGATGTATAGTTCCATCAATTTCAACTGGAACAATGAAATCAGCATTGCTAATTGGCTAGAAAAGTGAAAACAAAACGATCTTTAAAAAGAATGATTTGTATTATGCACAGACTCTAGAGAAAGTTACAGAATGACAGCACAAGCTCATAGGGTAATCTGAAGAACTTTTGGCGACAACTGGCACAGCTCCCCTTACGCTTACCAAAGAGATCGGAACGATCCTGTTCATGTATTTCATACAAAAGGCTCTCGATACCTTTTTTTAAACCAACAGAGAAGGGCTGTTAAAAGGTGGAGCAGGCTGTTCTCTCAAGCAGATGGGAGGTTCTTTTCCCCTGAATGAGAAAAGGCGGTATCCCATTCCTGCTGCACTCCAATGGAATTAGTAGGGAAAAGCAACTATTTGCTGAGTGAAATCCTGCTTCACTGACAGGTTCCGTTAGGAGAAAGATTCCAGCCTCCAGTTCAGTATGTGCTAATGGGTTGGCTTGGGGCTCGTGTATTCTCTTTATTTGCCCCATGGACTCATTTCCCTTTTTGAAAAGGAGCGGAGGAGAATTCAGAGCACACAGCCCTCGCTAGCAACACTACCAGAAAAAGAGCAGATCGCATCAGCTCTTCCTGGGACATGTCCAGGGGAAAGCAGCTGGCAGATATGCAGCCTTTGACTGACTGTGTTCCTTTTCTCCAAGAACACAGAACATTTTGGAAACATTCTGAAAAGGTTTTCCCCCAGTTTTTAAAGGGGAACACAACCTTTTCCCAAATGAGGATTTTGACAACTCTGATATTCATCTGCCGAGAAAGATCTTGGGGCTAATATGCCACTCCAGCCTGGTTTACACAGACAACAGAATGGGGTGGGAATGGTTTGCACCCCATTTGAGATTGCAAGGGGAGAAGATCATTTTCAAATGTTTCTCTGTTTTAAGAAGAACTTAGGAGATGGAAGAAAAGAAAAACCTGAAATGTCCCCTGCTGTCTTAGGGGTTTCTACCCATAGGACATGTGGTTCCACTATCTGAAGAAATGTCTCTACCTGGTCCTCATGGGAAGACCAGGCCTTAAAGCTGTTTTTGAACAGCCTTGCGTGGGTTGCATAACCCAGACCATGTACAGGTAGTCCTCACTTAAAAATGCTAATTGGGACCAGAAACTCTATCATTAAGTGACGTGGTTTTAAGCCAAAAATCACAACTGTGTTGCTTAGCAACAGCAGTTCCAGCAGTCCTAGTTGCTGTCATTAAGCAAGGACTACATATGATCAGGGACAATTGTAATTGTGAGGATTGTGATCATGTGACTGCAGGGACATTGCGATGGCCGTAAGTATGAGGACCAGTCATAACTACCACTTGTTCAGCGCTGTCATAAATTTGAATGGTTGCTGAATGAGTGGTTGTTAAACGAGGACCACCTGTATTTGCACCACACACAAGATAACACAAAGAATGGTTTCTTCTTTCATTTGTGAATACAAATAAATTATCATTTTTAAAAAATACTTCAGAGTAGAGATATATAATATTTTATTGTGTGGGTGTTTTTAATAGCTATAGAAACACAAGAGAAGAAAAGTCTTAAATATAGAGAAATTATAGGCTACAGGGAAACACTCTGAATTCCTTTAACAAAACTGTTCAATCTTTAGAAAAATGGAGAGCATTATATGCTACTTAGCAATTAAGGAGCATATAAGAGTTGTATTTGGATTTTTCACAATCATTCCAATATATTAGTTGCTCATCAAAATATTTCTGAGGTGCACATAATCTTAATATTCTTATTTCTCAAATATATCCATCTGAGGACCACTGCTGTAATTTTTTTTGTTGTTGTTCAAAAGTGACATCATGCTGAGGTATCTATCCTGTGCTGCAGTATGCAGTGATATCAAATTCTGGCCCTGGAAAATGAGCAAAAAGCCACCAGCTTCACCTCACTCAATGACAACACTTTGCTTGAACACTTCCCACTTCCCTTAGAAGAGATCTGCTGCATGTTTCCCTACTTTTGCTGTGGAGGAAACAACATGCAGAGAGATGACAACCATTTAAGATCAGAATGCTGCAGATTTCTGGGGTGGGGGGAGGAATAGGGAGGATGCTGGGTGCTTATTTCTGCTCAAGGACCAAATGCCAGAATGATCAGAACCATGTGCCAAAATCTGCAAATACGCAAAACCATTTATCGTAGATAACACATTCTGGTCTATGTTTATCAATTGCAAATAACCAGGTTCACTTGTATTAATGATTTTTTCAGCTACTTTGGTCTATATTTGCAACTTTTTACAGGGGAATCCAGAGGGTATGGTCAAAAAAGTCAAGATGGCATCCACAATGGTGTGATCAAAGCTCACCACTGCACATAAGAAACAGGCAGAGCTTTTATCACACATTTGTGGACGCCTTCTTGACTTTTTTGACCATACCCTGTAGATACCCCTAGACTTTTATACTTTGGATCTGAACTGAGATGAGTCCATGGTGCTACATCTCACCCTTTCGAAAAAAGAACACTGAAAAAAGTTATTTATTGTTAGATGAAGCATGACTGACTGAATATGTGCCATCAAGTCATTTTTGTCTCCTAGTGACTACATAGAAGGTTTTCTCCATGATGATCTATCCCTAATCTGTCCTTTCAGGCTTTTCAACAGTGCCCCTATCACCGCTGTAACTGAGTCCATCCACCTTGCTGCTGGTCATCCTCTTCTCTTTCATTCCACCTTTTCCAGCATTAGAACCTTTTCCTGGGTCTTCGCACAATGTGTTCAAAGTAGGATAATCTGAGCCTGGTCATTTGTGCCTTGAGTGAGAACTTTGGTTTGATTTGTTCGATGATCCATCGGTTTTTCTTGGCTGTTCATGGTATTTTCAGGAGTCTTCTCCAACACCAAAATTCAAAGGTGTCAATAGTCTTCCTATCCTGCTTCTTTAAAGTCCAACTTTCGCTTCCACAGAGGATCACAGGGAAGACCATGGCTTGCATGATTCTGATCTTTGTAGGTACAGACACATCACCACATTTGAATATCTTTTTCAAGGCCTTCATGGCTACCTTACCGAGTGCTAGTCTGTGGCTTATTTGCTGACTGCTTCTTCCTTTAATGTTGATGGTTGATCCTAAAAGGCAGAAGATATCCACCACTTGGATATCTTCACTGTTAATTCTAAAGCTGGTTATTCTACCCATTGTCATTAGTTTGGTCTTCTTTATTTTTAATTTTAGTTCCATTTTTTCACTGTGAAAAAAATGAGTAATGAATGACATTCATTACTCATCCCAAAATATTGCAGGTGGAAGCTATATCACGTGTTTGAAAAATCTGAAGTATCTCCTGGATAATGAATTTCTTGCCCGATTGTTAGAGGTAGCCACAGAGATACCATCTATCAGAAGAACTGACATGTTTTCGAAGTGCTACTGGAAACACCAAAAGATATACTGTGCCTATTCTGAAACACCTTCACTGTGAATTTTGTGCTCAGCCTCAAAGCCTCAGTTAAAGTGAGCTAAGAAGGTAGCTACTTTTTAAAATACATACGCACATACAATTCTAAGAGAATAATGAAATTACCAAGAAGATTAAGGATTAATATAAAATATACCCTAAATGCTTAAGTATACAAACTTTATAATTCACAATATCACTGACTCCCTCTTTAGACTGGGAGACGCTGAGCACATAAATAGCTGTAGCCCTTATCTGAAGTTCTAGTATTTTGTTCCTAAACAAAATTAGACAGTATCTATAATTCCTCTGTCTCCTTATTTAATCTATGTACTATAAAGACCTCTCAGCAGATGGCAGCACTAGGCTGACCTTGGTCTAGGCTCAGAAACTAAGCAGGGTCTAGGGCTGATTAGTACTGGGATAAGAGATTTCCTGGGAACTCCAGGTTGTAGGCTAGACTGGGAAGTTAAAAAAAGTGGAAGAAGACAGTGGCAAATCACTTCTATATTGCTGCCAAGAAAGCTGTGTGAATGGGTCCATGAAGGAGTCAAATTTAGCTCAAAGGAGACTTCATGTGAAAAGAGACATTAATGTTTTTGATTCAGATTTGCCATAGGGTTAAATCTTTCAGCTTCAAATGAAACATGAGATGAAATTGTATGTAATCAGGCTTCAGGCCTCTGTGAAGATCACATCATACACAGGGAGTCCTCAGGGCTAAAAGAGGCTTTGGACTTCTATCACTAAGAAGCAGAGGATCTTTTGGGAATTAGGGATACTGACATTTTTCACAGGGCATCAGCAGGGACTAAGCTGAACAGCACACCAGTGCTTTTCTGATGGAAGAGCCATGAACTTTAACCAATGCAAGAGAGGCCTGCATGATGTTCCCTGATGTGGTCTTGGGGTTTTTTGTTACTCCTCTACGATTTTGTGCTGGGCTCCTGAGGTGATGGAGAAGATGGTCATTCTTGGGAAGATTCACTATTGTCCCAAATCTTTTCCATTTCAAGACTACATCTCTAGTGAAGCCCTAGAGTTTAGAAATGGTTTTGTAACCTTTCCAGACTGAGAGACATAGTTATCCCTTTAATTGAACTGACTGAACTAGAGGTGCAATTACTTCTTCACACTGGAACACTGCAAGTTGGATGACTTTGTTTATGAAATAAATTTCTGGCGTTTGATCAATTTCATGTTCACTCAGATTCCAATTATTCCTGATTCCCTATTCTAATTCCAATTCAGAAAATAGAAAGGGAGGCATATTGTTTTTCACATAACTGCTTATAAGACATAATATACAACATGATATGATTCACATTTTGGCAAGTTATTATAATGTAATACAGGTAGTCCTTGTTTAACATTCACTGTTCAGTGACTGTTCAAAGTTACGAAGACGCTGAACAAGGGAGACTTATGACCAGTCCTCATAGTTGCAGCCATCGCAGTGCCCCTGCGGTCACGTGACTGCAATTCAGGTCCTTGGCAACTGGACTGCAGTTATAATGGCCGCAGCATCCTACAGTCATGTGATCATCATTTGCAACCTTCACTACCAGCTTCTGACAAGCAAAGTCAGTGGAGAAGCTGGCAGGAGGTTGCAAATGGTGATCGTGTGACTGTGGGACGCTGAAACCGTGTGGGATTTGCCTAATGACGGCAACTGGAACTGCCATAACTGCTGCAGTTTACGACTACATTGCTTAGTGACAGAGATCCCAGTTCCAATCACTGTTGGTAAGCAAGGACTACCTGTATTTCAATTAATTCCATATAATAAACATATTTTCTTACTTGTTTAAACTCTGTCTCAACTATAGGTCAGTCTGATACCTAAACTATATTAATCATGCTATTACAAAAAAATGCACTTAGGAAGAATATGTTTTCAATAAGGATTCTAAATGGTGGTAGTTAAATTATTTTAGGCAATAAGGAAATAAGTACATTTAAATATTTCATATATAGTAAATTATGAAAACACTACTCCCAAATTTTCCACATAACAAGTTATTACTGCTGCCCTCCTTGGAAATTCACACATGTACACGTATTGCCTGAATTCTTAATGAACATTTGGTTCATTTGATTAATGGAAAGCAATGTGTTTTGAGGCTCTCCTAAATATCATTCAATATTAATGATGAAGTGACCAAGAAGCATGGCGGCAAAGACATCATAGGATCTAAAAAGTACATCTAATAAGGAACAGATACAGAAAGTATGCCTGTCTTCACTCATGTATTTATCAGCAAGTTATAAGGAATATTGAACAGCATACCTACCTTAAAGGAACTATGTACTAGTGTTTCATCAAGATCAATGACCACACATTTCTTCCCGTAATCAGATATTGTCATTTCTGGCAAGAGGTATTTAGCTGGTGGCTAAACAGAGAAAAAAGGAGCACCCCCATGATGTTAGAAACATCCATGCTGAACTTGGTACAACAGTCATGATTGGTGAAGACTTATATAGATATAATTAAATTATTTATTGCTTGTTAGACAAATAACTGGAACCATTTTCTGTATGGACTATAATGGGTTTCTATGAAACTCTCCCAAATCAACATTTCCACCTACTATGAAAGATCCCTGGGATAAACAGCTGGGAGGTTCTGAAATGTGGTGAGATTAACCCCAACAGAACTCTACCATAGTCTCAAGAGGAAGCAATATTTTGAATCTAGCAGACTTGTACTCTAAATGCTTTAAAAAACTCCTAAGACTAAACTCCACAGTATGTCTTTTTCACAATTTGGCTGAATTGGCAATCCAATGGGCTCCTTTGAGGGAATATTATTAGTAATCTCACAAAATGGCTGCCATGTGGCAACAGTCCATCACAAAACATTAGTTTTACGGACAGCGAGCCAATCGGGTTTAGAGACAAGCAGCTTGGCTGATCAACTGAGTACAAGGCAAAAGGGAGGTCTGAATCCAGACAGTCATCACAAAATTTCCCCACGTAATATCCAGTTAACAGAATAGTATCATGGATTTTGTGTATTAGTTATTTGTTTCACCTTTGCTGATGTTTCTTATTCTTGTTGATATGACTAATCAATAAAGTTGAAAGAAAGTTAACAGAATACAGACTGATGAACATCAGAAAAACCCAGAAATGTAGCAGCCACCTACACATGTTCCCCTCAGCATTCGTCCAAGAAAACAAAGGAGAGAACAAAACGCACTGCACATAAAATCAAAACCACCAAAGCACAGACACATTTTATTTTAGTAACTTCTGCCCTGGCCCGCCTCTCTAGCTTACCCCTAATTTAAGACTGGACTGAGAATATCCACAATTCTTGTTTTTAAAGAATGCCTCCAGGCCCGTATGAAGCAATCTTGGTAATCCAGATGGTTCTGGATACTGATCCCACCAGATTCCCAGAGAGAAAGAAAATATCTAAAAGGGCGGACCAGAAAGCCTTATAAACCTCAAGAGAGGTGTTCGGAAACACACTATGCCCGCGCATTTGGCACTCAGGATAATTGGAGTCATATAGGCTGGGAATATTAGCCACAAACCTATAGTGAGGCAGGGGGAAAAACAAACAAGAAAGCTCCTTTATGGAAACTCTAAGTGTCATCTGAGTTTTGAGCATTACCCTTTGCAGTTGGCAATGGGGCACCTGTGGGGACTATAACGTACATGATCTCACCAAATTAAATTGAGCTTTCATTTTTTAAACAAATGGCAAGATATGACTTTGACAAGGGCACCAATATCATCAGATTGGGGCTATTTTATTTTATTTTTTCCATCCAGACCAGAGACTAGTTGCAGCACTATGGGGTCCATCGGTGGTCCTGGGCAATAGACTGGCAATCATTGGCACTGTAGTCTTCCCTGAGTATTATTTTTATGCCTGTGCTTCATTCCCACCAGCCTCTAAACATTGTTGGATGAAAGCAGCCTTCTTTGTTCTGTGAAAGCCCTTTAACTTTTGCAGAGGGTGTACAAAAACAGGAACCACTAACACATAAATGAGGAGATCTACTGGATGACTTCCCTAACCTTCACTTGGCAAATGCTTTTTCATGATTTTGCAAGGGGTGGCTTGGTTGTTAATTAGAGGTTTTGCCCTCTCTTCCCTGGAGTGACAAGTTCTGTGCTGGAAATAAAATCCCATGAAAATGTAAATTGGCTGCCTCAGACATCTTTTTCTCATGCAACTGAAATTATATGCAGGCTACAAGGCACTGAGAGCTGGTACGATGTATTGATTAAAAGGCTGGACTGATCCTGGTATGATCCAGGTTCTAATCCACCCTAACGCTGGAGACTCCTGCGTGATTCTGGGCCGCCCACTCTCTCTCAGTCCAACCTACTTTGCAGGGTTGTGGTGGTGGAGAAAAATGAGAGGAGGGAGCATTTTGTATGCTACCGTGAGCTCCTGAATGAAAGGAGGGATACAAATCTGATAAATAAATAAATACTTCCCCCAATAAACATAGATACGGACTGCATGCCTCCCTTATTACAACTATGTATTTTGTTTAAGCCCCTATTTCTGTCTGTGAGCATTCAAGACTTGGATGATATAATGAACTGTGGAATGTCTTCCATCTCTGCAAACAGTGCATGAGAAAGCTGTATCAAATTCTTTGCAAGGGGTGCCAAGAATTTATGATGTGTTTGTGTGTGTATAAAAAATTAAATTTATATATGTGACTCCGGGCAGTTTATAATTGTTAAGACATTTAAAAACAAAGAACAATTAAAAAAACCCCACAAAAACAGCCCAAAAGAACAACAATGGCAAAGAAAATAAACCCAGTGGGGAACAGAAAGGAGGAAAGGGGCAGCAATTGTCCTCTCCATATATTATACTATAAGGCTTTCATAGCCAATTGCCTTCCAGTCTGCATTTTCTTTTTAAATAAATGCCTTGTTATTCTGAAGTCGCTGCAACAGATCATAACAACAACAGATCGTAATAACAATCTGCTGAATAAGGAGAGTTACTTTGCACAACACTATAATCTGCAGTTGGCGAGCTCTATTTCAAGTTTAAATCTCAGAGTATAAGCGGGTGAAAATCAGAGCAATTTGGTGGTTAAGTGCTGGACTAGGAGAAAGACCCAGATTCTACTTCTGGCCTTAGACATGGAAGCCTACTGGGTGACATTAGGCCAGCCCCTCTGTCTCAGCCTAGACTGGGAAGTTGAAAAAAAAATCTACCAATCCACACCAGACCAGCATGGTAGCTCACTGTTCATAAGCTTCAGTGAAGAGGCTTTCATCCTGCAGTCAACGGATTTGTGCTGACAACAACAAGAAAAAACATGGGAAAATAAGAATCTCTTCTATGTGCTACAGCAACAAGACCTCCTGTACTGATAAAGACAGCTCTGCCATCACCAGCCAACTTCAGAAATGCAGGAGAGCAAGGACACAGCCCAAAACACACAGCTGGAGGCTAAGGAGAGCCAACCTGCAGTGGTTTCAAACCTGTGTTTGTGAGACATGAGACATGTTTAATCACACTGGGGGAGGGAGAGTTGAGGAACTGTGCAGAAAGTCGTGTTAACCGACCTCACTTTGAATGGGGCTAAAGTAACTATTTCCAGTTAAGTGTGTCATGCAAACTGCTACTGGGGTATCAGCCATTCTTCCAAGATCAAGCTAATATCCACCAATAAAGTCCCTCTAGGAATCTTATCTTCATTACCATTCCAATTTCCACCCCTTGTGCCCAGAGAGGACTGAAAATGGCAGCAATGAGTGGGAATGAATAGCAACTTTAAAAAAAATGCTCCAATGAATAAAAGGAAAAAAGAAAGGAAGTGAGGCAGGAAGCTGCAGCCTCCCCTGTGGGTGTTGAGCAGATAATAAAAATGGTTGGTGCACAAAAGACCCACCCATGTACTGCCAGGCCATGAAGGTGAGTCAACAAACTGGAATAGGGGAATTCATGCTTCCTGTGAGTTGCAGTTAGTAAGATATGGTTTTGTGAGTTCTCCAGCTATGGTTCCATATTCCTTAGAGTTGTAGGATCTTGTCAGTGCACACACACACACAGAGATGCATACAAAAACATCAGTGTAAGCGATCAGTCTGAACCCAAATCAAGAACATTCAAAAAATATACTGAACATAAAAAGAATAAAAATACATACACTTGGAATGGGAATGACCTGCATCTGGTCACCCTGGGGGGAAAATGGGGAAAAAAAATCATTATAAGAGGATAGTATTTCAAAACAGTAAAACATAAAAGAAACTGACACATCAGATTTAATAAATAAAGCCATTCCAACTAAAACTCAAAAAGGAATTTAAGAAATCGGTTAAATTATAAGAGAGGACAATACTGAGTCAACGTAAATCATCAAGGAAGTGCGAAGTAATTGTTACTAGAAATATCAATATTCTCAACAGATGTTGCAAAAAGGGTGCCTGGCTTTTTTACAGCCTTAGTGTAGTGACATTCCCCTGCTGAACACGTCCTGGTGTCCCAGGAGCATTTGACTGGAGCAACCTGGGAAAGACGTAGCAGAGGTGGGAAGCAGTATTCATGCAGGATACTCCTGATCACACAATTTTGGTTTGCTGCTTATACAACGTGACGTTAGAACCAGACCGGACATTCATCTATAAACTGGGATTGTAATTAGCAATGAGATTATACCCTTCCTTAGGCTCAGTAACTATGTGTAAATAGGACTGGATCCAGATATAGTCATACTTAAGAGCACATCCACTGCAGCCAATCAACATATCTCAAATCAACTGATTTTAATCGTATAATTTAATATTATTGAATTCAGGAAGAATCAATTATATATTTCAAAGTGAAGTGATGACCGCTTATTCTAACAGTCAGATATAGAGTAGGATAAAAATATATTGTTTACCTCATAGTAGTTTAAAACCAAAAATACAATAAAATCAATTCCAACTTAAAATTAATGAAACAACCAATCTCAATAGAATAATAAAATAATAGTAATGATAGCCATGGTGCCGACCTTAATATATATGGCAGCAAGTTATACTGTAACTCAAAAGTCCTTCAGAGACGTTCCCTTTTAGCTACCTTCTGGAAGGAGGCTAGCGGAGGTACCAACTGGGCTTCTGGGGAGGGGGACACTTTCACAAGATGAGGATCGTGACAGAGAAATATTATCTCTAGGTCACTGCTCCTCTTATATGGGGAACTCTAAGCATCTACATCTGGGATGAGCATGAAATATGGGCCAGTTCTACTTGGAGAAAGTGGTCTGGAAGATACCTGGAAGCCAAGCTATATTGGGCTTTATAGGTTAAACTCAGCGTTTTAAATTATTCATGAAAATCTACTGGAAGCCAATGCAGCACCCACAATACAAGTGTAATAAAGCTATAACAGCTCTTATCCATTGGCACATGGGTGGCTACATTTTGCACCCACTGCCATTTCTAAATAGTTTTCACGAGCAGCCCCGAATAAAGTGCACTACAGTAGACTAACCCAGTGGCGATGAGGGAATGAGTTATTGCTAGCAGGACCACCAGCTGCAGAAAGGATCGCAACTGGACTACACAGAAAGCCAATGGTTTCTAGAAAAACAGCAGCTCCCTCTAGTTCAACTTCAGCCTCTTCCATTGCATCGAGCCCTCCAACACTGGGTTAAAACTTCCATGACATTATTCATCCTCCTTGTGATGATGAACAGCTGGGTATCATCAGCATACTGATATCTGACCCCAAACCAACAGAAGACTTCTCTCAGAGATTTCATATAGGTATTAAAAAGTAGGAGTGACTGAACTAATGTGGACCACACAAAGGAGCATCCATTGGGCAGATCCTCCCCCGCCCACCGGGTACTGTCCATTTAGGAAGTAGTGGAACCATTGTAAAAATATATCTCCAGACTTCACAAGCAGTCCAAAAAGACACCATGATGGTTTCAAACACCAATGAGAGATGAAGTAGCACCATGAAGAGCTTACTACTTCATTCAGATCCTGACAAAGGTCATCCAACAGAGTGACCAGTGCCATTTTCATTCCATGCCAAGCTTGAAACCCAAGGGAAAAGAGTCTTCTGCTTCCTCTAGGGAACTCTGTCACTGAAGTCCCACCAACTTCTCAACAACCTTCCTGAAAAAGAGAAGGTTGGGAACAGGGTGCTATCCTACATAGCTGGATCCAGCCTTTTCAGAAAGGGATTCACCACCAACTCTTTAGAAGAGGCTTTGACCATTTTTCAGATCCAGCTACTCAATGCCACCAAGAGAAAAAGAATTATTCTTGTTCTCATTATCATATCTCAATGATTCTCAATGGGGACTGAAAATTTGTTGTACACTACCTCATCTAATGACCTAGGTGGCAATTTATAATTGTGGATTTACTCATATAAAGTTCAACCACCCTATAAAAGAAAACATTTACCTTTTGAAGTCCGCCATTCTCTTCCACCAATGGAGGAAGGACACTGGTGCTGTTGGGAGATGGTGACTCAACATTGTAGTCACGAAAGCAGCAGAATAAAGTGCTAAAGATGCTTCTACTCCTCTGCTTTTTCAAACTGAGATTACATTGGGACACTGTAAAGAAATACAATATTGCATTGTAAATGGTTTCTGGACTTTTGAAGAATGCCTGTTGTTACACATAGCGCTTAGATAGTTAACTGTAATGTTATAGCATTGACTGAAAAAAACCCACATTATTTCTGGTAAATCACTACTGGTAGTCCCCAGCTTGAGTTCCGTTCCCAAGGTCTGTCCTTAAGTCTAATTTGCATGTAAGCTGAAACATACTGTATAAGTAGTATTGTGTAACAAACTCACACTGTTGTGTATTTAACTCAAATTTTGCTACAATAGGCTCCGTTCTTAATTATGGGTCATTTGTAAACTGGGAATTTGTTAAGCCATGCTGTTCTTATTGCAGCAAACACCTGTACACATCACATTCATATTTTACATTAAGGTACAAAGGAATTATCAGGCTATGTCAACAGGAATAAGAACCATCTGCTCCTATAGGGAACAATATAACAATATTTTATTTACACCCATTTGGACAAGACCTTTGAGAAAGCACTAGTACAAACATGAAAGGTACCCGTTAAAAAGAAAATAAAAACAAATTTGCCGACAAACACATTTCAAGATTTGTCAGAAACTTGGGATCAAGAGGTCTTTTCAGGACAATGAAAAGCAATATATTGCAGTAAATATCTAAATAATAGAATTAGTCCTATGATCCCAGAAGACAGCATTTTGACCTGAGTTTCTTCAAACATATGTATCCTCAGCCCCAGTTTCCTGTGGAAAATGATTTCTGTAACTGACCTTGAAAAGCATACATGAGGGATGCATTTCAACCCCCATTTGGAGTCCACATTTTGAATTCAACTACAGAGTTTGCAGCATTGCAACTGACTTCCCAATTCAGAGCATGTAAATAGGAATCCCACAGGTTCAGTCATTAGTTGCGCACCATTCTGCTGCCTGCCAGCATAGCAGTCATGACATCCAGTGGATCCAATGGTTTCTGTTTAATTTCCTACTGTGGCAAGGAAATGTATCTTTCCATAATAGGAATGCTCGTATGAACTGTACTACAACTCCTAAATCACTAATGTGAATTTTATACTATGCTAACTGCAATAGTTTCAATTTTTCTGCCTTAAAGAACCCCTACTTGTGTTAACTTCTAGGGAAGGTTTGACAGTAGACAAAGATTTTGGGACAGCTTTATGGCATGTTGATGACTTAATTTGGGCACTGGCTAGGTTTATGCAATCCACAGTGACTTCTGAGGAGTGGGTGGAAGGGGAAAAGAAAACCCAAGCCCTACTTCACGAAATGATGAGGCCACTCACTGAGTGGGCCCCACGTGCCAACCCTCAGTTAAAAACCTACAAAACCTTGCAACAAATGATGATTCCAAGCCAACTGCCTGTGGTGCTACCAATAAGAAGGCCTTGTGCAGCTATTTTGCCTTTTCCTCCTTATTGGATTTTTTCCCCTTGGAAGATGCTGTGAGAAAACACCGGAAATGTGTAAACAGAACACCTGTAAAATCACATAAATAAAGCAGGGAGCTTGCATAATAAAAACCTTAACTGGATGCAATCACAAACAGACCAGCTGCATCCAGGACTTAACCACCACCCTCCCGCCCTCAAAATTTCAGCTTGGTACTCAAGAGTCACTTGCACATACATAGTCACGTTGAACCTTATGGTGGGCCCAAATACAGTTGTACTTCCTTATATTCTATGAATGTGGTATCAAATACATCATGGGGAGGAGGCTTCCTGCTGTCACTTGTGAGAATTTAAGCTTTACTTCTCATTCTTGAATTGGACCACTAATAGGAACTACCGGAAGAGCAAAACAAAACCCCCACCCGCACCAGCATGGGCAAGGCAGGCCACAGCATATAAATAGAGAGCAAACCCTATCCCGTTTTAGCACTGAAGATGTTACCCAGCCGGGTAATGAAACGTTTGCAAGAAAAGACCCAAGCTCAGAGAACCCCAAGGGCTCCACAGAGCTGTTATACAGTTGTTTCACAGAGCTACAAAACAGCTAAGCCTCAACCTGCATTGCACTATAAACTCAGGATTGTGTCAGCCAGATCTAGGTTTTTGAGTCTGGCTAAGCAACAGGGCTCCTGAAAAACACTGAGTGTTTAAAGTATTTAAAGTATTTTTAAGATTCAATTCTGAACATCATTGTCTTGCATAAAAATTTTTTTTTTCCTCTCCACCACTTCTCAACTCAAACATCTTAAATCTTTTGGTTTCTTCAGAAGTTTTCAACTGTAAACTTCCACTACGAGGCTGCAAAAAAAAAAAAAAGTTCCAACATGTTTCAATTCAAAGTGATGAGCAAATAAGTGACAGAAGAGGATTCATAATCAAAAGATTTGGAGAGAAATTTAAGTGCCCCTTGTTCGCCTTTTTCTTTTACACAAAGCCCACCTGACGTCTCTTATAATAATAAGCTAAGGCATTAACTACAAATATTTCAAAGTTAAGACTTGCAAAGGAAGTTGAAGTTATATAGTTTGTTCTGACTCAAAAGAACCTCATGCTGTATTCCAAGAAAAGAACAGATTTCACTGGAGCACAAGCTATTGAATTGTGCTTGTAAAACAAGAAATGTTTTTCTTTGCTTCATTGGAACAGGATGAGAGTAATGCAGGCATTTGCGAGTCTGGGACTGAAATAAGTAATGCCTAAGAAAAACGGAAGCAATCCTGTGAACATGGAATATTAAATCCCACGTCAGGACTTTTGTTATCATTGAACAGAAGCATTAAGTATGTTTTCACTAGTTAAAGATTTAAGATTCTCTCAGAATGTCAGCAATGGGTTTGTCTTTTGCTTAAAAACAGTTGTGATTAAAATCACAATTTTAAGAGGTGATTGTGAAAATGATCTACATCCTTCTAGCAAGGATGGATATTTGAACGTTGATTTCGAGGGTTCTAGGTAGGAAGATTATAGAATTTTAGTAGGCAGTATATAGATGTTGCAATATACCACATCTAAGTAACACTTTTAAGCAAACATATTTAACCTGGTTTAATAAGTTACAGATATCTTCTGCATTTTATTAAAAAAAAAGACAAGGACAGCTAATCTATTTTTAAAAGCAACATATGAGGCATCTAAACACTTAAGGGTCTGCAATCTAGAGGTTTACAAGGCCAAAGGCAAATCCTGCTTTCAAAAATGAGCCAATAACTAACCTTAGTTTCATCTCTACGAAGAGGTCTATGGACAACAAAATTTTATTTATTATTAAATTTACATGCCACAAAAATTTGCCATACTTAAAACACTTTAAGTTACCCATAAAAGATTTTTTAAATAATATTTTTATTCAAGTTTTACATAGATAAAAGCTAATACAGAACTAAAAAAGATATACAAACAAAAGAGAAAAAGAAAAAAAGGAAAGACATATAAAAAGTGACTCCCCCTCCCTCCAACAAGTGTAAACATTTGTAGTAACTTAACAACTTCTCTAGTATTACCAAAAAAAAAAAAACCCTCTCTTCTTCCCATTTCTCATCACTTAACTATAGCCAAATTATAAGAAATTCATCAATCAATCTTACTCAGCAAAAGCATTAAGAGTACCAGTAATAATAACCTATATATTTTAGCTTTAGACAAATCCATTATGCATTTTGACCTATAACTTTCTCTAATAAGTAAAACATGAAGAATTTATCCCCGTAGACATAAAAAATACCCATGCCAAAAAAACAAAAACAAACAAACAAACAAAAACAAAATGGTAAATCCTCATCTTACAATCCTGGTTAAAAAAAAAAAGTTTCCAATAAAAACAACCCAAAATTACAACTTTAACCCTGATCAAATAAGTCCACTTTGAACTTTTTCTTCTGTTTGTCTGATCTTCTGTTGCTTCTTCAAATAAAGTCCCACATGATTATTTCCTACCATTTTCTCCCTGCCTAATTTTCAGGAACTTAAGGAATTTAATACTTCCCTTCTGTGGATCCAAAATAAGATAACTCTCAGAGTCACTCTTCTGATTTATAATCTGAATGTCCCCTTTAATTGTTAAAACATCAACCAGCATAATTTGTAGGTCCAATACAGCTTCTTTCTCCATGTCACTCTTATAGTCAAACAATTTTAAATCACTTTTCAAATCCACTTTTTCTTTTTTCATATCTTCCATATCTCTTTTATAGTCTGGCACGTCTTTAAAGTCCATTTAAGATCCCCATTCAAATAATCCTCAGCCTCTTTTTTATCCAATAAAATCTTTTCTTCTTCTTTAACCTCTGTTAGCTCCACTTTGAAAGTATCAGAAAGCTTTAAAAATAGGTCCTGAACACATTGTTCCCAAGCTGACTTAAATTCTTCTATAGTAAAATAATATTCCTCCATTATGTTAGCATCTTCT